TTTTTTGGCACTTTTTCTTTTGCCTTAATGTTATTACTTTTCACAAATTAGCCAGACAGGCACTTTCCCCAGCTCTTTCGTGGTGTTGGTTAGGTTAATATTTTCTTTTTTCTGCCTAGGTAAATTTGCAAGGTGTAAAGCATAACTGGGCATTTAAAAGGTTTTTCTACACAAGATATATTCAATATTTAATTATAATAATTAATTTCCCTGCAAAAAATGGTACGAAGTTGGGTTTTTTTGGGTTTCCCTGACATTTTACCTTGCTTCATTTTTGGGTCAACGTATTTTTTGGGGTTTCCTCAACTCGAACATGCGAATCTCCCATTGCCAAGCCATTGCGTGCTAATTGGCAACGAATGTGCAATATTTTCTCAATCAACCAGAGTTCAAGGTCTGTATGGGAATTATGGGAATTTATTAACACCCACCTGCTAACCAGGAATTCAGACAGGGATTTCAAGGGCTAGACTATGATCAGATCGAAGACCATAGAGCTTACTATTTCTTAAATATATTATTATATACAACACTAAGTGCGCATTATATTCGCTGTAAAATAATTTCATTCGCTGATTTGTTATTCCTTGTCATGTGATAATTGGCGACGATGTTTTGCGTATAATCGAAACCATATAAATTCATTAGCATTTCATAAAACAAAGTACGTCAAAAGAAGCCTGTGGTTGTGCTGCTAACCGGACCCAACCCCCAAAGAATTGTATAAACAGGTTTCTCGCTATTACCGAGAATTTCGTTGTAGACAATAAATTCAAATCCAAAGGCCAAGTGCTATGTACTGCTCAAAAACCATAGAGAATAATAATAATAATAGGTTAAATTACTGCGAAAAAAGGTCCAACACTTTTCGAGTAGTTTGGTATGCAAAGCAGTCTTTAGTGATTGGAAGCTCTTTGCATGCAAATGCATCCGTAAGATGCGCGCGGCATCCATCTAAATGATGAAATATGGCATTTGTGTTGTGTTGTGTGAATTGTGTATCTTTCGGATACGTAAGTAGCGTAAACAAACGGCAAATGCATTGCACTATAAAAGGTAAACAAAAAACGAAAAGGGGGAGGCATTAAGAATGCAGAAGGTGGTAACAAACACACACTCACATAACGTACGTAACATTTGCCCCCATTTGTGGCAACATCTGTGGTTATGTGGAGGAAATGCCCAAAGAGACCCCAGCGAAGTCAACTAAAATGGCTTTTTAGCTGTATGAAAACCGAGCGAATCTAGTTCACAGCCAGCTGCCTTGAGCCAGTCTACCAGTCTCTACCTCTCTGTATAATATTCATTTGATATTGGACACACCCTCAAGCTATAGGTAAGATTGCATAGATTGATTCATATACAGTTTCCTGGTATTTTTACTTCGAAAACATTCTAAGTAAACAAAAATGTTCAATGAAGTAAACAGTTTTTTAAAGAAATAATCAAGAGAAATGTTTAGGTATGCTAAATATCAATGAATCTTCAAAGTATTCTTCATTGAATCGTAAGTTTATAATATTTATAGAATAAAATCCATAGTTTATAATCATATATACATTACAAATAATTTGAAAAGCCACTGAAACCGGTGTGTATTTTGAAAACCATTTAATTTCAGTTGAAAAGTATGCAATGAAAAGTTACACCAATGATACTGCAGCTTTGCTTAATTTTTACTTGCTTTAAAACACTTTTACAAGTGATTTTTAATCCCCAAATTATATCTTTGGCATAACTTAGAAAGGCCTTAATCATTAGCTATACGAAATACCTTTTCACCTATAAATTGTACTCAATTCTCTTTTAGTAGTCACTGTTAATATGAATCCAAAACGAGCCTGACTTCCTGCACGAGTGACCCAAGTGAAGAAGATGTAACTGGCAAACTGCTCTTAATTCAATTAAGTTCAATCAGTGCCAAGTGTTTGGCGATTGTTCGTTCCACCGACAAGTGTCTAGAATTGAATTAATATTACAATGTATGTTCTGTCATTGAGAGCAAAGGCGAAACAACCCGAATTTCTATAAGCTGCTGTAAGCCTCTGTAATCTCAGGCCAGTTCATTGACATTGATGTCTATCTACCTGTCAACAGAACAATTAAAGTTTTTAATTTAATTAAGCCAGCTCAAGTGAGTGGAAAGTAGGGAGAAAAGCCAAGAGTCAAAAGACTTTTTGATTGAGTAACTTAATTCAACGCCCACCAACAGGTAATCGAGGTTATGGCGGTTTTCAATTGATATTTCTTTAGCTTTTTGCTTGTTATTTCTTTTTTGGTTTTGCGAAAAACTCTGATCATTTTCCCTTCCCCGGCAAGAGCGAGAACACGTTTCCAAGGTGGGTCCAAAAATAAAACCGCATAAATCGAAGCAAAACTGCTGTTGTTGCCCCCAAAAGCAAGATAAACGGAATGGTGAAGAAACAATGGAAGAAACAAACAAAGAAACACACAGAAGAGCGGAGAACGAGGAAAGACTAAATACTGGCTAAAGACGAAGCTCATAGGTCAGGTCTCCGGGTTGGCAGGGCAAGTTTTTTCCTCTTGAGGAGAATGCAAAATACTTAATGCCTTGTGGGGAATGCGGAAGAGAGGAGGTGATGATGATTCAGGGGGTATACATAGGTCCATATGTGTGTTACCTACTAAACTGCAGTGTTGCCTTAATGACAGATTTTGAGTCATCAAGGCGAGAAAATTACCACTCCGATGCATTGGGGCCAAGAATCCGAGAAAGTGGAGCAGGAACTCAAGATCGAAGAGTTATAGTACTTCTTCTCACTTTATTTGTATTAAGATGGAAGTCAAAGAAATCAAAGAAATGTGGTACAGGTGAATCTATAATTATCCAGTAAATCCAACTCATTAACGAGCTTCTTGTTCTACTTGAGCTATAAATAAAATGTTTATACTATTAATTTATTAACTCTTCAACATCAGATGCTGATTTTTTCCAATACCTGCAAACGGTAGAATAAACAGGTGATAAGAACCAACCTGATCCCAGAATTACGTGCCAGAAACTCAAGACTGGGGGATTTCCTCTGTCAATCGGAATTCGTCTCGTTTTCTAAGAAACTTTTCATTATCTCAGCGTCAGCAACTATGCAACTATTGTGTTTGCCATATAACTTCGTTCTCTATTCTCAAATCCCAAAACCCCTCGAAGACGGACAGGCACGTCTTGTGGCGATCAGAGCTGGCTTCGAACGTGACTCATGGTCTCTCCTCTCTTCAAGAGACCTCGGAGACCTTCGCTATCAGCTCAGCTCAGCTCAGGCCAATCCAATAGGGCACCAGCACCGGCAGGAGACCGGTTTCCCCCGATTCTCGGTAACCACATTCCACAAAAACCATGCAGAGAAAGAAACATTATGGTAAAAAAATATATTTTACAGGAAATTTATGAGGTATTTATCTTCAAGAAGGATTGTCTAGATCCTGTCTCATACTATTCAAGTAAAGGTATATAAATATGTCCTATTTTATGACCAACTCAGGTAATAATTTGCAGTGTGCCGGCGCCCCTCCTTGGTTTCGAAATCACTTATGTTTCGTCATCCCCGTCGACTCGACTCATTTGGCATTCAAAATGCTTCTCTATTAGCCCGGGCCCATTAAGCCGCCGATTTATGCTGGCCGTTCGCACATGCATAATGCAATTCTGCAAGGCATTTGTTCTGTGGTTGCAGTTGCAACAATTGCTGGGCTCTTGTGGCGTCTCTTGGTAACTAACCTCTAATTAAATTGCTGGCTGTGCGGCGGCCTTCGCCGGCAGCTTTCGATGCTGAATGGAGATGATGGAGCTGGGGTCTGGGGACTGGGAACGGAGATTCTTTTGAAGCCGCCTCTGAATGGATCGCTTAGCTTTGAGGTCTCTCGTTAACGCATCGCTGGCGACTGCAGCTGATTGCAGGTGATTTACAGGTGGCAAGAAGATTGAAACCCGAGTTTCTTGAGAGTTATGCCATTGGCATTGAAGTGAGTCGTTAAGTTGTGCTATTTATTTTTTTTATTGATCCAAACTGCAGGCGGTAAACGTGCTAAATTCAGTTTTTCAAAACACATTTAATATTAGGTAACGGCAGCTTTATTATTTTACACTAATTAATTTTATATTTTCTTTATAGAAAAGAAATTGGCTTGAATAATGAGTAAGATCTGTGTTGCTCAATGTATTTCTAGAATGAAATTTCCATAGGAACATGTTGCTGTAAACAAATTCCTATAACAACATGTTCTTATAAACAAAGCCCAATAGCAACATATTTCTGTGCATATTAGATTTAATTGTTATATTTAATATTAGAACATATTTAAACACTAATATTTTAATATGGATATGTATTTTATAATAAAATAGTTAGCAAATGTAAAAAAAAAATTGTTACTGGAGCTATAGATTCAGCCAATGGAAACATTGAAAGTTTGAAAAATAACCTGATCACTATTCCTTTTGCAACTTTAATATTTAAATTATCCGATTTCCTAATATTTTTTTAAAATACAGTATAATTACCAGGTGATAGTTCAAATAGTAAGAACTATTTTAAGGGTATGAACAAATAAATTATAGTAAATTAAACCATACACAAACAGTTGTTCGCGAAATGGTCCACGTTTCACAAATTACAAATATTATGACATTTTTAATCAAATAATTGCTGGCGTTTCCACATGTGCGAAAAAATATTCATAGTTAGTGCGATGTTTTCTGGCGCGCACAAAAAGCAAATACGAATTATATTAAAGCGTCAACAACAAAAGCGTAATTAAATAAAAAAAGGAGAGAAAAAAAAACAGGCAGCAAGTCAGAAGTGGAAAAACCAAAAACAACAACAATGAATGATGTTGAAAGTCGTTTTGCGAGTTTGACCGCTGAGCTCCACTGTCCGCAAGAGAGCTCGCTATATTGGAGAACGGAGAGTGGAGAGACGATCTGATCTGGGAGCTTTTGGGGAGAACGAGAGAGAAAGAGTGGGGCTTAGAGCTAGACTTACCAAAAAATGTTTATATTTTATATAGTATAGACTTCTCGGCAGCTCCGATTTTAGATTGACGATTTCAGCACTTTTCTCGATGGCTTCATTGTTGTTGCAAAAATACAGAAATACGTAGACTTTTCACGTCACACTTTTGGCTTCCGCGTTGACATAAACAAACAACAACAAATCCAGTAACGACACTTTCCTCTTGCACTTTTTAAACAATTGAGCGATTTCTATGGCTTGACATTAATTTGCAATTAATTGCATTTTCAATTTCCATATTTCACTCATACACACAGAGCCACACGCACTTGTATTATTTACACTCTGCTCCCCTTTCGTTTTCCGCTCCACACACGCACACACAAAGACGCGCCTGGTTGTTGCTTTTGCTTGCGGTTTCTGTTTATTTCCCCTCTCACTCGATTTCCGCACAATAGAACCAACAAAATTGTGTTAACAATTTTTCGTGTGTTTGTTTATTCGAACAAAAAACTGAATACCGCAACGCGAGCGCCAGCATCCAGCAACACGTCCGCTTCGTTCGACGGGTTTTTCGAAAATAAATTTGGATTTCCCACTGTAGCCCACCTCGTCGCGACTGCGACGCTGGCAGCGGCCGTGTTGCCAGTAATGACCGCCCGTATAAGCTTGATTCTGAGCTTGTAAATAAAAAGCTCTGATATTTTCCTTATAATATAAATCCTTGTTATTATGATTACGTATATTATACATTAAAAATAAATTATATTATAGACAATAAGCTTGTTGCTACTTTTATAAATTTTTAAAATTTAAAAATAAACGATATGTGGTCTAAAAAAAGCTTAACTGGCAACACTGGGTGGCAGAATACGAAAGCGCTGCAGAGCACAGTGGCAAAAAGCATTTAACTGTGAGCGAATATAAACTCAATTTATAATAAAAATGGGTTCTTGGATAAGTTTATTTTGTATTTATAAATTATATTATAGAAATTATGTTTTTTATTACTTGCTTCAGGTAATTAGCTCCTTTAATTAAAAGGTATTTACTATTATTCATGAATGGTAATAGAATAAAATTGTTGTATGCAAAAAAAAAGTTAGATATATAAATTAGAAGATGGTTTTTTAAAAATGCATACTAATTTAACATTTCTTTACTAACTTCAAATGCCAATAACAATGTAATACAAATACATCATAATCTTAGCAAAAATTTTGTTGATAAAGCGGCGCTATAACAGTCATTTTTCCCACTGCGCATGCCTGGAAGCTCCAACAGCGGAATGCAAGTGCACATTTTTGCACTGTTAATCGGGAAATGATGGTTAAAAGTCGATAATTAAGTTTAATTGTAACTAAAGGAGGCAAAACGGCCTATTACTCTGTTAAGATTGCATGTTAAACGTGGAGAACCTTCAACAAGACAGAAGACTGAAGTATGCTAATTAATTATAATGAAAAGCCGCAAGTTTATAAATAGAAATGTATATTTTTAAACGAGGTATTTATATTTTAGTTATTGTCCTATTATGTGATAATAAAGGCTTTCGTATGTAATGTAATATAGGCAAAACATAGAATCAACTAGTAAATAGAAACGAAATTTACCTAGGGATATTGTCGTCCCCACTGTTCCCACCATGACTGGCGGCTACCTGGCAACAATGGTCGCCCACAACATAAATCCCGGCAGGTGAAACCGGTTCCAACCTTCTCCGGTTGCCTCCGCTTCTACGGTTTTTGTTTGGCAAACAAAACGCTTCACTGCAGCGGCGCACCAGCAACAGGAAATCATATCAGGCAAAATGTTTGTTTTTCCAAAAAGGAAATATATATGAAGGGCGTTGCTGCTCACAGGCGGCAACGATTATAAATGATATCTAAAGACGACGCCCCCAATAAAAAAGTGATAGTTCCGAATCGAACATGAGCTTGGGGGAAGAGCCCCATGTCGTGCCGCCCACTTTTGCCAGCTGCCTGGCACTGGACTGGCACTCATCACTCATAATCTGCCCACTGCAAGCGGTTGGTTTTTTGTTTAATTTCGATACATTCAATTAGCATTTCAATGCTACATTTATTTCCAGAGCAGTGAAAGTAAAGCTTAGATGGGTGCAGATATTGGGGGAGGATTCGGGTGAGGCGACCAGCATCACGCAATTAAAATGATGACTCACTGGAGGATCTCGTGTTGCCAGTCGATCAGATTTAGCTGCGGCTTGAATCGCTTCAGGGGACCTGAAAGTAGCTACGTCAGGCCCTAATTTAAGGGAAGGAAATTCTCACAACTCACTTATCAAGGCGTAGCGCTGCTCCTTTTGCAGCGCCAAGTAGTCCACATTGGGTCCCGTTAGATGCTGCGCCACTGATCCATTGCTCACCAGCTCCGGTGTCCAGATCTCGTCCAGCGACGCCTCTACCGTCTTCAAAAGCGTCTTAAATTCACGCTGCAGTGACGCCGCGAGGGAATCTCCGTCCACAGGTGCTCCGCTGCCGCCAAGCTGGAGCAGCGCTTTGCATGTGTCACGCACAGGCTGCTGCTGCTGGGCGATCTTCGTGACGTGGTTGTGCAACGCATCAATGAGCGCGATGTCTTCGAAGGGGTTGCCCGGCTTCAAGCTTAGCAGCTTGCGTTCGTGCTTACGTCGGTTTTTGCTGGAGCGGAATGTCTTGCTACAAGGAGCGAAAAAACACAGGGAGTTATAAAGTGAAACTCTGGCTAAAGTGCAGTGGAGCAGGTCCAGGTCTTAGCTTACCCGGTGCCGCGAGAGGTACCGCTGTAGCGCGAGGAGTGTAGACTGGTTGTGTCTGACAGAAGATCCACCTCCTCGATGTCCACGTCGCCATCGTTATCCGCATCTCCTGAAGTGGCTTGCTTTTGGCGAATGTCTAACAAGCGCTGCTTGTACTCCACGAATAGCTTAAGATCGGCTTGTAAGGAGCCCTGTAATTGTGCTCCATAGGCCAAAGGGCTGGGGCGATCTTCTCGGCTGGAAAATATGAAAAATTATGTTAATAATTTAAATAAATTATAATCAGCTAACGATTCCTTACCCAATGCATCTCCCTGCTCCAGACCGGCTTCGTAGATGGCCCTGCCGTAGAGATGACCCTCTAGCAGTACTTCTAACTGCCTGTTCCGGTCCCCACCATGCTCCTTTACCAATTCATAGGCTTCCATGTGACGTCCCTGCTGCTGTAGAGGTCCCACCAGTGACAGGGCCACCTGATCCAGAGGCTCGTCAAGCTTTTTGGCTAGTACTAGGACTCGTTGCCAATCCAGCGTATGCTTGGCACTGAGCAGCGCCTGCTGGAGTTGTCCTCCACGCTCGTACATCAAACTGGCATTATCCAGTTTGGCATTAGCCCTCAGGTGATCTGCATAGGCCACGCAGACCCTCTTGTGGAACTCCTCGTGCTCCCGATAGCACGACAATCCGGCTGTGTACAGGCCATGCTTCCGGATGAACTCAAGAGCCTCCTCGTAGTGCTGCTCCCCGCAGGAAGCCAGATGGGACAGGGCCGCGGGATACCTTTTTAGGTGATCATCGATCCGGAACTTGCGATATTCAATGGGCAGAGCCTTCAGTTCATTCAGATAGGGCAGGAATTCCTTGGGATCTTTCTGCGATTTTTGGGCAACGAAAAGGACCAAACCAAAGTCGTAGGTGCCCAGGGCCACGTTGTATAAGTCGTTCACATCCACCAGGTAGAGCAGGTACTTCAGCAGTTGGTCTGCCAGAGTAGCATCCGCCTGCTTTTCCTGCCAGATCAGTTGTAAAGCCTGCTCCAGTCGACCCAACTTGACATAAGCTGTGATAATCGGCAGGCGAAAGCGTTCAACATCCTCCGGCCGCGCTGCCTGCTCCATGCGTTGGCACAGCAGTCGGCACACATATTCCACCTTCTCCTCCACACGATAGTCTGCGGGATAGGTCTGCTTAGCAGCCTCGTAGTTGCTGGAGTACATGCCCTTGGCAAAGTCTTCGTTCTGAAGTTCACTCAGGAAGAGACAGAGCCACTGGCTCTGCTTGATTTCACGCAGGAAGACGTCTACCGAAGCGACGAAAAGCTCAACGTTGTGATCCCAGATGATGTTTAAGTTGATGCGCTGCTTCCGGAGCATCTGCATCGCTGCCTGGTATTGCTTCCTCGCGAGCAGGGCACCAACCAGCTCCAGTACAAGCACGCGAGGGCAGATGGCTTCCAGATTTCCGCGCGGAAGCTGCAGCACCACTCGCGCCTCACTGGCCACTGCCGTTACCAGCTTGCCGCCCCGCTCAATGTTTCTGCTTGCCACTTGACGGCGATCCTTCAGTCGGACAAAGTGTAGTGCATTGAGCTGGGTGTAGGCGAGGTAGTTACCCACCACGCAGAAGGAGGTGACGTCTTCGGCGATGCGATGACCATCTAGGTGGAGTAGCTGTTGATTGCGGAGCGTAATGAGACCGCCTGGGAACGGTTGTGAGTAATTAAATAAGAAACACATTAATAATCCCTTGTATAACTCACCTGTAGAGTCACTGTTGAGGGTGAACCACTCAATCTGGTCGGCTGCCTGGGCCAACTGCACATGCGTTCGCTCCACCTTCAGCGTGTTGTCTGTTTTGAGGGATACCTCATAGGTATGACCATTATTTACCGTCTGAACAAAGAACTCATCCATGGCATTGGCTCCGACTGACAAAGCATTGACCAGCCCGCTGATTCGCAGGGAACACTGCACCCTGTAGCAGAGCTCGCCCTTATCGTTGACCTCATCTTCGTCGGGCTCCTTGTTTAACAGCAAAAGACGCGTGGATCCGCCCGTGCTGTAAGTGGCCAGCAGGTAATCACAGTTGAAGTACGTGAGATTCGCCAGTGGTAGGCGTGAGAGCTCTGCATCCGGCATTAGTACGGTAGCTCGCGGTTCCTGAACGCTCAACTGCTGCATGGGCTCGTAAAAGTGCAGCTTCCGATCGCAGGTGTAAACACACAGGCTGGTCTCGTACCAGGTGAAGGCGTTGATGTAATTATCCAGCTGCAGGACGCGTTGGGACATGGGAGGCGGCACAACCGCCCTGGCAAAGTCCGTCAACAGCAGACGCTTGCCATCGATGACACCAACGACGCCACTGCGCTCGTACCGATCCACAGCGAAGGCCCAGCGGTAAACCAACTGCTTTCCGCTTTCCTTGACCAGGTGCAACGTGTGCTCGGCTCCCATTCGCGTGTCCCAATGAAGCAGCGCCAGCGGATCCTCTTGGTCGAAGATCAATACCTGCTTTAAGTACCAATGGTAGTTGCCTATCGTGTACAGATAAACTCGCTGCTCTTCCTTTGTGGCTGTCCTAATGGCCAGAATGTCGGAGTCCTCACTCCAACGCAGCTGCACCACCGGCTCTTCTTGCAGATCGAAGGGTAGCACTAGCTCCCTATGCCTTAAGCCATTCTTCTCGAATAGTGCTATCGTGGACTTATTGGGGAACCTCTGGGGCAGAGCAATCCAATTGCCCGCCGGTCGCCAGGCCACCACTTGCTGCAGATTTGCGCTCTTTTCGGCCGTGTGTTGAAGTTTTCCCTCGCAGTCGTATACCTTGAAGGTGCGGCCAACCTGAGCGGCCACGTAGGAGACCACAAAATGGGCACCATCGCCGCGCCAAGAAATGTGTATGTCCTGCAAGGCAAATGCTATTACAAACCAAAGAAAAATATTACAAATTTAAAGCTCAAACCTGGTTAAGCTCCTGCCAGTCTTGATTAGCGGTGTCAGCAGCGCCCGCCGTCTGCTTAGCAGCTTGCTTTCCCTCTGATCCGTGGAACTGTGTCTCCTTCTTGCCCCATCCCACGTTGACGAATTGCTGGTCCGGCGCCAGATCCGCGTTCAGTGGCTGCTCGGCAATCACATCGAATGTGCTGGTCATAAGCACCACGTTGTGGGTCCGGGTCACAAAGGCCACCACCTCCTGGTTGGGTGACCAGGCCATGCGCTCGATCCCTACCTCGCAGTAGGTGCCCTCGCTGGTGGCTCCCGTCTGGGGATCGATCAGCAGCACCTCGCCGGCTCCGCTGGCCACACAAATCGCATTATCCAGCTGCAGGAACTCGGCGCCCACAATGTCCGGCAAATCGGCAATCACTTTGGACCGCACATCGCCGGACTCCTGCACGGCGTAGATCTGGCCGTCGGTCACCAGGAAGGCCGTGTCGGAGGCGTCTCCATTTAGCTCCGGCTGCAGTAGTAGCTGGCGGGACTGAGCCACCGCTGTGTCCAGCTCCTGGCAATATTGAAGCTTCAAATTGCGCATATTTCGTAAATATTGCACGTGTGGAACGGTGTGACCGGAGCTTTCGAATGCACCAAAATAAACAAATGCATTCCCTGACAAATACCAAAATGTATCCACAAATCTGCTTGAGTTTATAAACAATTTAAATAGTTTAGTTAAATTTCAAGTTAATAAACGTTAAAGCCCTGCACTAAAGCATTTATGAATAATTATTTAAGTAATTGTCCAAGACTAGCTATAAAAAAGCCAACGGCATCCCCTCTCAGCATTCTTGGTTCACCGTCGCCTGGTCACACCAACATTCAAGAGTTGCACAACACTAGCCAAGATGCGGCCATCTTGCTCTGCTCTCGTGTGAATTTTTTTGTTTAAATTAATATTGCCCGTGCTGTGGACTGATTGACGATCCAAAATCGAACCGAACGCCATGCTCGGGCTGAACTGAAACGGTTGCAAGTGCGAATATGCATAAGTTTGAACGGAGGACGGCCAAAGATCCGGAGAATAGAATCGAAAATTCCACAAAACCAGCAGCCAGTTGTTGGTCAGAAGGAGTGCGTGTGTGTGAGTGCTAGTGCTTGTGCAAGTGTTAACGTGTGTGTGTGTGTGTATGGAAGGAAGGCACCAAAACGGAAAGGTGGTGCAAATGTTTATAAATATATTATACACCATATTATATATGCGTGATAATTCAAATGAAATGTGCATGTGGCTAATGCGACGTTAGCAGCGACGCCAGCGTCGGATTGGAATGTTAACGGGGAGCTCCAGCCAGCAGCAGACAACAACAACAACAACGAGGGCAGAAAGACCAGCAAAGCAGCACAACAGAAAATAACAACAATAGCTGAAAAAACGCAGGAAAACATCTTATAAATTTCGGTAAGCATTTTGGTTAATCTTATTTTAAGCACCTGCTCTAAATGTTTTTTGAAAGCCGAACTCAAGGACTCCGCCCAACGCCCTTTTTTGCAGCGTCGCGCTGTCTGCTTCCTTAATACACTTGTCGCTGTGTTTGTGAGTGTGCGTATGTGTGTGTGGGTGTGAAAGTGACGAAAGCTTGCGGAAAAAGGATAACACAATTGTGTTAATAATAAGGTGTAGCTAAAAATAAAGAAAACATCTTGAAAATACCTTTGCATAATCCACCACAAAAACAAATAAAAAAGCAAACAAATATTATTGCATAAATCTTTGCCTCATCATTTAGATGATAAATATAAATTCAAACATTTGGCATCTGCAAAAAAATTACAGTAAATCCTCTATAACAGTTACTGCTTTAAAAGTGTACTGTGCGTAAAAGGACATTTTTTACTTAAAAATTAATGAATTAAAAATAATATTCTTGAATACTTAAATTGCTATGTAATATTTATGAGTATATATTTTATATCTTATTTACATAATTATAGGCTTCACTGTGCCGTGCTTGTCCCGTGCATATTTTGCCAAGTGTATTTGTTTTCCTTTTTTGGGTCACTATATTTGCAGCTTCTTTATATTTGTATTTTTATCGCTGTTGTCTGAGGTCAACTAGTTTGGTTTATAAAAAAAAACGAAAGCAAAAATACAATAACGAACAAAATGAAAAAAATAATAACAATAAAAAGCACAAAAAACTACGCATTTTGGGTTCCTCCAATTCAAAGCGAAAACAAAAACACGTTTTACAACTCTGCGGCGCGAATTTGTTGTTGTGGCTTTTTGAATAGCGAACGCATACACACGTCTTAAGCTTAACACACGTATACATATACACAAACGGGCCATGAATGACCAATGCGTACAACAACAACAACAAAAGCCTGCACCGAATAACAACAACAACAGCGACCACAGTAGTAATTAAAGGCAATAACCGAAGCGTGGCGCATCGTAGTTTTTGTTATGGATTTCCGTTCGTAGTAGTTCGTATTCGGTGTCCGCTGTTTTTGTTGTTTTTTCTGGTCAGCATTTTGCGTCGTCGGCAAAATATTCGTGCGCTGACGTCACACGTAGGCGCCACAAAGCTCCCTTTCCCCCTTTCCCACATTTTTCTCTCTAGTTGTCTCTCTCTGTATCCCGTTTGTTTGTTTGTTTGTATATTGCAACATGCGTGGGCGTTATACTCCAACTGTATCGGTGTGCGTAAGTTGGCTTCTTGTTTTTTTTTTCTTTTTTCATTTTGCGTCTGTGTGTATGTGAGGTCAGTATTGCGTGAACTTTTCACATTGGTTTGAGCTTCGCATTTCGTGTTCAACTTACTTTTGGCGCTCACTGTTTATTGCGAGCAAGCATCACTGTGTATCTGTCGTTTTCAATTGTGCTAATTACGCCTTTGCATGACCACTGTACGGCTGGTGGTCTAGTCAGACTGATTGGAATGCTAATTGGAATTAGTAATTGCAAGTTTATCCCAATGGGCAATACACCGTTAGTAAGCTGCTGTGAATTACTGAATTTAGTTCTGAAACAGTTTGCAATATATGTATGATTATAATTGATAACTTCAGTCTAGATGAAATTATAATCTCTTTAGTAATGATCAAAGTAACTTTCCTGATAAATTAGCTTTTAAGGTTGTGTCTCTTACCTTAACAGAACATCTAAAAATATATAATTTCTGTATATTCTGTCTGCATCTTAACTTTAGTTATATGATCTTTGAATAAGCATATATCAGTTTGCTTCGGACCTTCTCCTCTAATCTTATTTATTTTGACTAACTTTTTAATCCAACAAAAACAGGCTGCTCGAAATGCAAACTTCTTGAGTACGTCCGGGAATATGAAACATGGAATCTGGTTTATCGTTTAAAGCCCAACTGATATCTCTTATCTAGAATAACTGGTTAATAAATTATGTGTGTTTGGCATTCTTAACATTTTTTGTTTCTGCTCTCATTTTTCGCTGTTCCGCAAATAATTTCTTAGCAAATTTGAGTTTCTTTTCCCGGTTTTTTGTTTGTTTATGTTTCTTTGCGAGTATTTTTAGCACACATGTAGCCCTCGCTTTGATCCACTTGCTAGTGGATGGATTTACATTGCGAATTCCACACCGGGAGAACTAATGGTACTTGTGGTAGTGGTAGTGGTGACGTCAGGAAATCTCCTTCTGGCTGCTTTTCTCTATCTACAATTTCCCCGACTTCACTTCGATGCTAATTGGCTCGGCAAAGTATGCAAAAAATGCCATAGAGCAGAAAAAGCGAAGAAAATCACGAACTGCAAGCGAGCTGCAAGAAAGAAACAATAAACATTTTGATGTCTACATTTTTGCAAACAACTCGATTCGACAGCAGCAGCAAATTGCTGCCTGGAAATGGAGACGAAAAGTAAACATGCAAAAAGGAAAAAAAAATTCGGAGAGGGGGAGTGGGGGAAGCCGACACAATGGGGAAATTAATTAACATGGCCAGCGGCAGCAATTAGACCAAATAAACGAAACAGAAAGGAAATCGATCCACAGTCACAAGCTGCAGTGAGTGATATTGGAGCGTGTGTGTTTCAGAAACAGCGATCGCTTTGGACTCATTTCTGTATTCGATGACACTAGCATACACTGCCGAAAAATTTATGATAAATGGGAAATATGTTTAGTTTATATAGGATTCCTGGTAAACCCTAAAAAAAAAGCAATTTAATTGGTTTTAAAGTTTGTAACTTTATTTTCTGTGTAACATGGCGATCACATTGTGACTTACTTTTGGCCAGGCCAAAAGCAAGACTGCAGCAAAGACTTGAAATGCCAAAATTGGCCTAATGAGTTGGCCAACACACATGTTTTTGATTTCATTTACACTGCCAAAAGCTTTCAAAAGGCAAATCGAATTGCCGGGAGCCATTAATGCAGCGCAGCAGGTGAGAAATTGCATGATACTGCCTGGATTTTATCGCATGCGATAAAGCCAAGCGCCAGAGAAGAAGCCGGCTCACAAATACACAAGAAAAGTGGAGCTTAAAAAATACGCTCTCTTACGCTCCGTGGTTTTGGTTTGTGTTTTTTTATACTCTCTAGGGTATTATAGTTTTAGTCTGAAGTTTACAATCTTGATCGGCATCAACAGACGAGTCGATCTGGTCATGTTTCTAAGCAAACTAGTGTCTCAGTTTGTCTTTGAAGTTATTGAAATGAAACTTTGCAGATAGTCTTCTTTCTGTTTTTATAAGTATATAAAGTAAAGATCTTGGAAATACAAGAAAAACAATTTATAACTTTGCCCATTTTCAATGTATTTACACAACTCCAAGACTTGATTCTATATTATGACATAATTTAGTTATTTCAAATTTTGGTTTTAATTTTATGCAAATTGAATGATTGGTGAAGAAATTTGAAAGCACTTTGTTCGAATGTATAGATTGTTATGAATGAATTTGCAAGCTGCAAGGGTATACAATTTTCGGTGCACCAAAGTTGGCTTTCTATTTTGTTGTTTTTCATGACTCAGGTTGAGCGGCAAGTTCGTGCAGCGATTTTCAGTTGAAAACTAGCAGGCGAGGCGCGCGGTCGCAAGAAACTCGAGAGGAAGAAAAAATAATAATAAAATCGGTGGCCACGCATGCGCAGAACTTCGAATCGCGTGTGTTGTTTGTTTTTCAATCGATTGCAATTGGCTTTCTGCAATATAAATATATATTTTCATAATAACGATAAATTATGACGGTCGGTGGTATGCAAAGTGGCCGCCGCCCGATAATAATCCATTCAGTGCAAAACACAAAAGGCAGACGTTGCTGCTGCCCATCGTGATGTAACGTGCGAATTCGAATTGTTGATATTTTTCGCTATTGTAATAATTAATTACACAAGCGCGAATAATTTTTTTTTGGGACGCCCTGAAGGAAGTGATTTATTCAAATTATCACACAAATAAATACACTGTTAAAGCGCGAAGAAAGTGAAACAAAAGCAGAGTGCGAATATATGAGCTTCCTGTGGCTCCCAGTAGATGATGGATACAAAATCTCAAATTTATGAGAGATATTTGGATTTGATTTTGGCTTTGGTGGCGCAATGACCTTTGTATGCTTTGGCTTTTTGATTTGTTTGCCATGTTCGGGGATACGTCCGTT